CTCGACTTGTTTCTGAGGCCTTCGAAAGCAAGAATCAGCTTGTGCAGATTTTCTGGAGTGTCTTTAACCATGTTCTGTAAATTGTCTGGAAATCTTGTTTGCAAAGTTTGCTTAGGAACACAAGAATGGTATTATGCTCAAGCACATTTATTTGTCCTTATTCAGTTGAAGACTTCGATACATACTATCTTCCACAGTTTCGTGTTTATGTAATTCTTATAAATCTTGTGTAAAATACACGAAATGGTTTAGAATTACACTCTCGTACTGAGAACTTTTGTTTTAGTGGCATTTAATCAAATATTACACATTGCATTTGTTATATGAGTTGAGTTTTCCTTCCAAATGAATATTATCGTTTACGCAAATATGCTTTGCTGATGGCTCGGGACAGGCACTGTTGCTTTCATTTTCACGTTTTTGTAGGACACATTATTTTAAACTGGAAACGAATCTAAGTAAGAAAGAATTCAAAAACTTGACTTGTAGTATTTTCAAGTTAAAAGTAGCGAGTTCGAGAGCACAATAGGCATGGATTAAATCATTTTAAGTTCTATCAATCACTTACTTCACCCTCAATAAATTCGAGGTTAATTATACAACTTTTTTTTTTTAATTAGTTCATTACTATATCTACTAGAAGATCCGATTCAATTAAATTAATAAAAAGTTTAAATAAATCATGCCAATTTTGATCTAAACCCGTCTTTTAACATATTTTACGGGTGGATCATTCTTATAACCCAAACCTCTTTAGTTCATCGTAAATCTTGAAAAAAAATATGTAGATTCTATGAATTTGCTAATTATATCGTCTAATCATGTTGAATATTACATAACATGCACTTACGAATATATTTTTGAAAATCTTTGACAATGGTTTGATATCAAGAATATCTAGCTAATGATTCCATGTCAATAATTAGAAGGAAAAAAAATAGTAAAAACATTAATCTTTTATCTACAATTCAATAATTTCTCCTTCCCTGCATTCACCAATGTCAACTGCAATTGTTCCTTCCTTTGTTAATGGCAACACTCTGCAGCAGTTTCTTCTAGGAGGCTGCAAAAATTACATTGAATATTAGAGACAAGGAAAGTTAATTTTCATTCTAATAAATAAGTGGCAACAAAATTTAAATGGAAGACATGTTTACAACCTATCTCATCTAAAAATGTAAGTTATTAAAGAATGGAGAACAAATAATAGACTACATAATGACACTAGTACTAAAAGTAAAATGTGAGAGAACAAAGGGATACGAAGTTACCTTGTCCCAGAAATTCGGATCACGCATTTTGTATACTTCCACTCTCCAAACATGAGAAGGATCAGTCGTCTCCTTCCAGTTGCATTCTGAGTCTGAATAATGAGTCTGAATATATTCGCTTGCTGTTCGATTAGTTGCCCGATTATATATGGCATTGGACAGTACATACACAAAAGGCCTATGACATGCATTTGTGCTAAGAGGTCTAGTTTTCATTGAGAAGCCGTCTTCATTATGCATTCTATACCAATTGGCAAAGGTTCTTAAAGGAATTTCCATTTTGCGGGCCGGAACTATGCCACGAAAAATTTGGGTCGCGTAGCCCCATGACACCGATATAGTCCAATTTTGGGCACTGTCGTAGCAAATGGACTGTTGCATGAGCCCAGCTGAGTCGAGCTTCATTGGCATTTTGAGACGTCGAAGGGATTGGATCCGGCCCGTGTTGGGGAAAATGGGCTCTATCACATCGAGATGATGGAGAGAGAGTAGTGGTGCAATTGGGTGGGCCGCCAAGAGCCCAAAGGCATCGCCATAAATATCCAACTGTGAACATAGATGGTATATATTATCAAAATTGCTTTTTCTTTACAAATAAAAATTTACTTACTCAAGATAAACAAAAATAAGCAAAAAAGGTTTATTTATTTTTTTTAAAAAAAATAAAATGACACAAATGCAATTAATTTGAACTATTTTTGTATCCAAATTTAAATCATAAAAATTAATTTCAAATGTTTAACCTTCATCTGAATGCAAATATGAATTTCAAGAAAAACCATCAATTGTGCTAACATTCCATCACAAAATCGGCCACTCATAATTTTTTTTTTAATTATTTTTTTAAAAGAAGAAGCTAAAAACTAACGAAAAAATAAATGTGCCACATAATCCATTCCAATTTTTTTATAAACAATAAAAATATAAAATATAAAATTACTTGCCCAAAGTCGATAGAATTTCAAGTCTACTAAAATACTGTAATTATAAATAAGGAAATCCACAAAGTCATCAAGAATTTTAGAGAGGGAAGGAAACCTGATGAAATCCCATTTCAACGGTGAGTGGAACTCCAAGTTCAGCCATGCAAGCTTGAATCCTATCATCTAAGCCGTACAATTTAGGGTATCTATGTAAACATCTATCTTGCATTTTTTCTAGGGTTTTTGCCAATGGATAACTTATGGCAAAACCAGCACCCCCATAAGCCATATTATAAGAAAAATGTATATTCTGCTTATGAGTTTCTGATGATTTTCCAACATAATAAAACTGGTTATGATCATATTTTGACAAAACCCTAACCAAATTCTCAGCAAAGAAAAAAGTATCATCATCCCCCAAAACAATCCACCTAACATCATCCAACCCCAGTCTCACTGTTTCTGATACTATTCGAGACATTCGTATCGCGGACCGATCACCGATCGAGTTTTTGTACTTGAATTTCGATGTATTACTCGATATTTTCACGGAAGGAAGGAATTGCTTATCGTCTGCGCTTCGTTTTACAGGCTTATCTAGCCATACGAACCCGCGCATTTCCTCTGGTTTCCACCATAGTTTGATATAGTCCTTCCTATGTTTCCATAGTTTTGATGAAGATGCAATGCCAAAAACAATGTGATGGAGTTGTGTCTTCTCTTGGGATATTACAGGGCAAGTTTGGAAATTTTCAACGCTTTTTTGTATAGGGTTTTGAGCGAAGATGGAACTGGAGTTTCTTAATGATTTTTGTAGGGATTGAATGCTAAAAGATATGAGATTTATTGAGTTAAAAACATATGAAAATGAAAGGAAAATTATAAAGGAAATTATGAGTTTGAATGCTGCTGTCGTTTTGATATTACAGAGACAGAGAAGGGATTCGAAATCTTTCATGGCTCCTTTTCTTGAGAACCCCAAGATTTCTCAAGAAAAATAGACGGAAGATGATAGATATTTAAAGGACAAATCCTCAAATGTTGGATATAAATGAATCTCTTTCGAAAGAAAGACATGTTTGTGTTTGAGTCTAAGTCCTTGTTTGCTTTAGCTTAAAATCTTGATAAAAATTTAAGTTAAAATCAATATATAATTTTAACTATATATTAATGTTATGAGATCCATAACTTTTCAATCACATATTTTATCAACTTTTATTAAAATCAATTAAAAATTTAATTTTTAGTGATACCAAACTAGGCTAAATTTGTTACTGTCACTATGTACTCATATTTAACAAATAGAAAGATTAAATACCTAAATAGATATAAGATAAATCAAATAAAAGGGTGAAATATTTGTTTATTAAGAATGCATGGATCATGCTACTTGTACATTTTTTTTGACATTAAGTTTGATATTGTGCCACATGTCGCATTATGATTAGCCAGTTTTTAAACATTGCACACTTTCCCACCAACAATACTTTGAATTTCTAAAGAAATGTCAAACTTCATGTCACCCAAACAATGTATATTTCTTAGACCCTGTTTGGGAAGGATTAAATTTTTCTACAGTAAATCAATTCTCATTTTCAACCACACATTTTTCAATAAAATAATATTTTCCATCACATCAATAATTTTTTCTTCTTTTTCAACCGCACATTTCCCATCATATCACTATTTAAAATCNATCATGCGGGGTCCACCCCATGTGAAATGGTGGACACCCTTATGTACAAAAAATTATGTACAAGTAGTATAGTCCTTTTGCAAAAGTGTTTTTCCATTTGTACCGAAAATGGATGACAACAAGTTTGACAACCTTTCACATGCATGCGGTCCCCGTATGAATAAAAAATTCCAAAAAAATGTGGATTCTCCCCCCTATTGTGAGTGTTCGATTAAAATGTTTGTCAACCATCTTCGGTAAATGTAGCATTACTCTTTGTAAAACTGTTACAAAAAGAATTACGCTAATTGTACATTTTTTTTTAACATTATGAATGACACTGTGTGATATGTGAAAAATTGTGACATTATTTTGAATAAGTGTTGTTAAGTTTGAAGTATTGTCGTGTTAAACAATGTCTCAATATCAAACTTAACCCATGTTTGATCCATATTATTTTCAGAATTTTTTTTTTCAAAATTCATTTTTAATCACATATTTTTTAATAAAATAATATTACACGTAAATTCAAATTTTTTTTATTTTTTGATTATATATTTTTCATCACATCTCATTATAAAATGCATTTTTTTCCAAGTGGATGGAACACCCCTTAACACAGTTTAGAAAAACTTTGAAGCTTGACTTTGACATCAACTAGTGGTATTCCAGCGAAGCCATATCCGCGTTGTCCCACACGCTTTATACGAATAAAAACTAGCTCCAGCTCCAATGGCGATTCGCACCGGCACCATGAACTTCTTCCTCAAATTCACTCTCTATCTCTACACCTATCTCTCTCTTGTATCCGCCTTCTCTCCCCCCGATCACTACTTAATCAATTGCGGGTCCGCTGACCCTGTTGCCACCGATCCCTACCGTCGAATCTTCAAAGGCGATTCCGTGTCCGATCACCTGGTCTCAGGTCGGGCGATTCTGGTTTTTAACGCAGACCCATCTTCTTATTCTTCTTGTGGACTTTACCGAACTGCCAGAGCCTTTAATCGACCCTTACACTACGCGTTTCCTATTAAAGACCCTGGAACCCACCATTTGGTACGTCTCCATTTTTATCCGTTCAATTCGAGTTATTTTTCTGAAGCACAATTTCATGTTCTAGCTAATGGGTTTTTGTTGTTACACAATTTTCGTACCGTGGTAAGCGAAAATCTGCCTGTAATTAAAGAATTTATAGTCCCGGTTGATTCTGAGAAGCTCAAAATTACTTTTGTGCCGTTGGATAATTCGAAATTCGCTGTTGTGAATGCGATAGAAGTGATTTCTGCTCCAAGAGATTTGGTTACTGACCTCGCACTGTATGTAGATTCTGAGAAAAATGAGCAGATTAGTGGATTGTTGAAAAATGGTCTTGAAACCGTGCATAGAGTCAATGTAGGAGGCTTTAAGGTGACGCCGTTTAATGATTCCTTATGGAGGACTTGGGTTACAGATGACAAGTACTTGAAATCGAGCGATGTGCCAGAAAAAATTCTATTTGGGGGTCGGATCAATTACCAATTGGGCGGGGCAAGTCGAGAAGTAGGCCCAGATAATGTTTACAATACTGCTCGAGTGATAAGGAGCTCAAATGAGACAATTCCCAACACAAATATTACGTGGGTGTTTGAAGTAGAGAAGGGTTACAGGTATATGATTCGGATGCATTTCTGTGATATAGCTAGTGTTGCAACCGGCATGCTTTACTTAAATGTGTATGTGAATGACAATTTAGCATATGAGAATCTGGACTTGTCATACATCACAAATAGACTGTTGGCTTCGCCATTTTATGCTGATTTTGTGGTTGATGAGGAGAATTCCGGGATTTTGACTGTAAGCGTGGGGCCATCAAATGCGAGCCTCCCTCATGCTGTAGATGCCATTTTAAATGGGATTGAAGTATTGAAGATAAACAATTCGATGGGTAGTTTTGATGGAGAGGTTTGCACAGAGTTTGTATTGAGGAGTTGGAGAAGGGGAAATGCTGGTGTTTTAGTTCCTTTGGTAGCTGTTATATTCTTGTTGCTAATTGCATCTGTGTTCTTGCAAAGGAGAAGGAATTGGTTTGGAGATTCTGTGGCATGGTCGAGGTTACGTGTGGATGTTTCAGAAGTTAATTTGAAGTATGGCAATCAGTTCTCATCTGGTAAGGCTTGATGCTTTGAAGAATCAATATGTCGATCTTGTAGTATTTATACATGTGAAGTTCTTGTGATAATTTATTATTGAATCTCCAAAATGAGTTTATTGTGGAGTGTGCTGTTGTCTTATGCTGTAAGTAAATTTATTTCACATAGAAATATTGCAGTCTAATAGGTTCAACTCTGATAATTTGGACACTTTCAGTATCTGTTTTCTTGATCCTTATGTTCACCATATTATTTTCTTTCTTTGAACAATATATGTAGTTAAAAAGGGCAATGTAAATTGAATGTGGTATGCAGAGATGATGATCTTGATCAGACAAGACTACTTTTTTTCTTCGATGTAATAAATGATTCTCACTATTTGAAGTTCGACAAAGCGTATAGATCTTATTGTGCACATAAATCCATGTATTTTGTGTACTAAGGTCCATTTATCATCTTTGTCATATTCATCTATTGCTGTATCTTTTTACTGGTTTGTGACCCTTGGGTACTTCCATCTTCTTGCATCTGGCATTTTGCCCAACATCACACAGAGTTGATGTAAAAAATGTCAATAAGAACTGAATGGGGATTTGATTATAAAGCTTCTTTAATCCCAGGGCATGTGATGAAATATTGTGTCGCCTGTTGCTGTAACATTTTTTTACCTTACCTGGTTGTCAGCTTTCTTGACTTTTAAGCTTATTACTTAATCATCTAGTTTAATTGGTATACTATGAAGTAATCAGCTTTTACTTTACCTGCATTTGCGTTCTGAATCTTATGAGGATCTTGTTATGACCTTGTTTGATGAACTCTAATGTGGATTGGAATCATCCCCAGAGTGATCTTGGGTATAAATCTAACTTAATGAAAGATTTCTTGAAATTTAAGAACTTCAAAGAGGAATATTAATCAAGATATTGGGACATGAAAATTAGTGATGTTCGACGTTTTTCCCTTTAGTTAGTTTTTGAGAACAACTTCGTGCAGATAAGGAGGGGCAATAGATGATAATAACCAAGACTAGACTAGAATGAGATTGGCACCACCGGCTAAAGTACAAGAAGTGTCCTTTCGATGAACTAAATAGTTTGTGATTATGATGTTAAACTAGCTCAAGGTCTTTCTCCTGATTCTTGTGGCGGAGAAGTAGGATTTTAGGGCTGTCCTTGTTTTGGTTTAAGGTTGCATAGACAACTAAATAATGATGTTACTGGAACAATTTAAGCTTGAGCCAAGTTTTGGGGCTATTTGGAATGTGAGGATGGGAATATATGGGTGACCAAGCAACAGCAAACAATTCCATAGACTCTTTTTGGCACCGTAAGGGTGAAATTTGGGCTTAGAAGATTTCGTTGGTGATGTGAAGTCGAATTAAATATAATCAAGCTTGTTTTGGCTCGCCTGAAATCAGGAAAAAGGAACATAAGGAAATGAGAAGCTATCATCCCTCTAATAGAAAGGAGAACCACCACCTCCAGCCAAACCGCAAGAAACACTGAAAAGTAAAATCATATGGATTTCTTTACATGGAACTTTGAAAAGTTGTCTGAATTTGATTGCAAGAATCGTTTATTTGGCATACACTCACCTACAGAATGGTCCCTGAAGTATGCTGGTTCATATAACCGGAGTTGTATTCCCTAGGTGTAGGGTTCAATCATCTTCCTACTTATGAAGACTCGACTGAGGAAAGACGAAGTATTCATAGACATACTTTAGGGAAACCTATTGATACCCGTATTTTTGAAGTGATTGTCCAACCTGTTATGCATGTAACTTGAGAATCTTGTTGATAACTTATTCGGGGCTGGAGATACTGCACCTCGGGGCACAAAACGTGCCTAAGTCTTTTAACAAGAAGGGATTTAATTTGTATCCAATCCAACTTCCAAACTCGTAGAGTCCTATGTTATTTCTTGCAATCTCGCTTCCTATCACGATTGGGTATTCTGCATGATGTGGTAGCCTTTGATCTAGTTTCCTCTCCAAAATCGAACCTAATTCTGTCACCACCGTATTATGTCACTATCCTACCACTAAAAGCAAAATGGCTGCAAGATCACGAATCATCAAGGGTTTACCATCGGCAGAATTCTTAACCGCAAGATGTATACCGAACCAAATTCAACAGAACAATCGAATTTTACATGTGACTATTTATAGAGGGGGGAAAAAGAACAAAAACACTTCTCAAACCAATATACACAATCCCTCAACTAGGCAAAATGCATTGTCTGTCAAAAGACTTCCCTTTATGCGCATAAGCCAAATATTATGAACCAAATATTAGTTTAACATCTTTGCAATAGCCCAACATCTTCAACTCCTCCCAATTCTATGGTTCGGTACTATGGCACCATATTCTTCTGTATAATCTTCTCTCTCCATATTTTCTCCATGCATTTCCACAAAATCAAGTAGCGTGAATATAAACGCGTACCCAAAACAGCATATATATGTCACTTAATATTTTGTGATCGAGCTACCTTTCGTGAACTCGAAGGAACTTCTGAAGTTGATAGTTCTATGTAATCCATCCTGATGCTCCAAAGAACATCCGCACACTTCTTCATCGTAGGCCAGTTATGTTGCTGAGGAGCCAAACACTGTAAGGCTAATTCAAAAACCTTTACCATTACAAATATATTTGCAGAAGACCTCTCCAACCGAGGATCCAAAGTTAGGATTTCATCTCCATCAGAAAATTCCTTATAACCTGCAGTTAAAATCGATTGAAATCAATCGACGTTCCCTCTTACCTGTCCTCTCCTTGTGACTAGTTCCACCAGTAATACACTGAATGAATAAACATCACTCTTTTGTGCAAGTTGATAGGTATTCGGGTACTCCGGGTCTAAATAGCCAGCAGTTCCTTTAACTTCTGTGGAAACAGGTGTCTCCTAATCAGCTGTCAGCAGCGCAATACCAAAGTCAATCAGTTTAGCACGTAGGTTCTTAGTGAGGAGAACGTTGGAAGACTTGATCTCTCTATGAATGATGGGATCATCTGCAAACAAAGCATGAGCATGACATAAATGGGAGGTGAGGAGACTTGAACTTTATGATTTTTTTTATAAACCATGTTCAACCAGCTTATCTAAAAACTGAAACTTCCCTCTTATTTAGTTAAATTTAGTTTTCAACACTACCGCATCCAAACCTGGGTACATGTGGAGGTATGTAACTGCATGTGCCATGTCTATTGCAATATCTAGCCTTGCAGCAAAATCAAGAACATTACCATGCACACCTGAATCAGTAGATATGATGTGAGCGCTAAATTAATGGTGAAAAAACCACTGCTACATGTAGAATAAGGTGAGAAAGAACTCAGTCCGTTCTCTAAGGTTTCCATTTGGAAGACGCTCAACAACCACCACCATTTCATCTTTACGTTCCAAATACCCATAAAATTTTACAATATTTAGATGTTCCACCAGTGCTAAGGTTTGGATCTCACTTTGAAATTCTTTCACTAAATATTGTAACCTGTCATTCTACGAAAAAAGAACTTTAAAACAAAAAATAGCAATAATGTGACTGTAACTGTAACTGTGTCAGCCTCCAACCCTGTTAGCACGTTTAACTGCAACCAAAGTTCCATCTTTGAGTCGACCCTTGTAGGCTGTCCCGAAACCACCTTGTCCAATTTTTAAGCTACGAGAAAAGTTTTTTGTAGCCTTACAAATTTCTTCCATGGTGAATATAGTACTTCCAGATTCTCCTCTGCGCGTTGAATTGCTGAAACTACCATAGATGGCTCGAAGTGCATTTGTTTTGCTCTCACTAC